GGACCAGTCTACTTCCTGGCTAGCATTGGTTTATAATTTTATGACGTAATGGCAATGTCACGTGCCGATAGAAACGGCTGTGATTGGCCATTTGTAAAGTGTCGCCGGCGAAAGTCGCTGGGAAATAGAAACGTTTCTAAATATTTTTGTCGTCGAGGTTGTCGCCGGTCGTTGTCGCGTCAGTGTGCAATGGCTCATAGGAAACAATAGTTTCTAATTTTCTGAAAAGTCGTTTGTCGTTACGGTCGGTCGCTGTCGCTGCAGTGTGGCTTGGCCTTTAATCTGAAGACACTTAAACGTACGCGCCATCTCGTGGCAACTTTCATAACGATCCCAACGAACATTCCTTTGAGAAGGTTCCTGATACCATCCCTGTGCATTCCACTGTTTTGGCGTGTATGTGAACACATTTGGGACTAACAGGGTTTACTAGAATCCCACCACTCCACCACAGAGTCACCGCAGTAGACGTTAGATGAGCGCTGTCGCTCCGCGGCACTTGTTGACAGTTTCCCCAATCTCCAAGCAACCGTGCAGCGGTGCCGCGGTACAGCGGTACGGGCGCAGCAAAGATAAAAACATGTGACGTCACATCACCACTTCGAGGCTATTTTGTTTGGGAAACAGTCGGCGTTTGCGCCAGAATGCCAGTTTTCTCACCTCTTTCTTGTGGGTTTTAAGCAAACGCGCAGTGAAATGGGAGCAACTAGAGTTTATTTTGTCATAATGTAGTTTGATTATGCATGTCACGAAGTATTTGCTAGTCTAGTACTGGAGAAATTAGCGTTTGGATGCGCATTGTGAGCCTTTAAAACATTGAAAACCAGGAAACATCAATCTACAACAACTTAATAATTATCATTGCGAAGATATGTACTTGCCTTGTGTTTAGGCCTACGCACTGAAAATCAGGTCCATTGCCGAATTTAGTCGCACCGAACATGGCGGACATGGCGGCTGTCTGCTTGTTTTCATCCAATTCATCTCAGAAAATACGGTATAACTCGATAAATAAGTAGCGCCTAGTAGCGCCCAGTTACCGCGAGCAAGCCAGAGGTTTATAGAATCGTTTGAGCTATTACATGTGACGCTAGCTGTGGCGATGTTTGGATACCGAGTCAACTGCAAGTTTTTATGGGCAAGAATTTGAAACGGTCTTCTAAACCCTAGCAAAGACCGTTTCTTGGAGCTAGGCGCTAGTATGAGTAGGTCAGTTTCACGTAATGAGAAGCGAGAAAGTAGCTTATGGCTAATGTGACTCCCTACTAGCCACAAGTTGCCTTCTCTCTTCTCACGACGTGACACATCATCACATGATATAGAGCCTGGCCAGGCTAGTGACGTTGTGAGTCGTCAGTGTAATTCCCTACTCTGGTGTTGCCACTGTTGGGTTTACCTCTTTGTATACAACTTCTGAGAGATGTCATAACGTCACTCCAGTCAATCCGATACATTACCCTAGATGATGATCTACCCTAGTAGAACTACCGTAGATTATACTAAAAATAATATTTAAAGGGGTTATTGCGAAATTATTGCTCCAAAACGCACAATCCAAAAAATATAGCTAAATATAGTCTCACCTCATAGCAGATATATTACTGAATAGTGAATACACCACCTTGAAAAACTGAATATTTGGAATTGAACACGCAGAAACACCATGCCATATTTGAGTATAGTGACAATGAATTTGCAAAGTTGCTCAAATCGAGAGTTCCGTGTGTGTGTGTTCAATGAATTTTTGTGAAGGGAATCAGGTTAATGTTGTGATGGTAAATGTGCTCATAGGTTGCAGAGTGTTGTAATGGCATCGGTGAGATCCTATCACGATGTGGAGAACATGAGGAAGCTCTAAGTGAACACAAGGAGGAGCTGCATCTCTGCCAAGCTCTGTCCGACCGCATGGGTCAAGCAATAGCACACAGACGCATCGGTTAGTGTAACAGTCTCTCTAAGCATACTATTTTTAGTTTCGTATAGGAGGTATATGGGCATTAAATAATGTGCATAAAAATAAACATAAGTCAATGTACATATATTTGATACACAGCACAATAATACGTTCATGATGTCTGGCAATATTTGACAATAGAATTTCTGCCTGTACTCCACTTTAGAGGTTCACATTCAAAAGTATTTGCTATGTTATATCGCGTAGTGTTTATTTCAAAGCAGCATGCCCATACTATTTTAATGATAGTTGGCTGTGGAGTTCCTGTCAGGTACATTATATACACTGTCCTGTCATTGGTTTAGGTGAATGCTTCACTGAACTGGGGAACTTTAAATATGCACTACAACATCAGATGAAGCATTTGGAGTTGGCAAGGTTACTACACAGTGGAGCGGAAGAACAGAGAGCTTGGGCCACCCTTGGTAATGTTATTTTGGACGTGTTTTTTTATATTCTTTTTATATACTATGCAATACTTGTTATAGAAATATTGTGGTACAGTGTGATATAGTATTGTGTCATAAATCCAGTAACTATGATTGAATTTTTAAATGTTTTTTTTTATTAGTACTTATCATACTGTGGCCCATTGTTAGAAACAAAATTAGTCTTAAAATTAACTTGTGTTCGTAGACCGTAGACTTGGTATATCTGTGAAAACTTCCAATATTGAAATTACATGGACCATGTCCTAGGTCGGACGCATTTCCAGCATTCAGAGGTCATGGAAGACCAACAGGAAGCAAAACGCCAACTGGAGGAAGCAAGGAAAGCTTTCATGAATGCTCTTGACACTGCCGAAAAAATCCAGGAAGAAATCAAGTAAGTCCTCGACATTAGATCGCAGTCAAAATAGTTGAACGATAGACTTCAACATGACTGCCATTTGATGAATTACTAAAGACATTGAATTCCATTCCACAGCTGTTTGATGAATAATTGACAATTTAAAATATTCAATTCCGTTTCCCAGCTGTCCGATGAATAATTCCATGTTCAAAATGCTCAATTCTTGGGTTATCCACTTAAATTATTAGCGGTTTCAATGGACAAAAAACGGCAATACCCGGGTAGAGCACGCGGGTGTTTACGGCACTCTGGCACGAGCTTTTCTTTCCACGTGTCTCGTGCTACAGGACGGTCGAATACATGCAGATGCGGGCACGGCTGCTGCTCAACCTGGGCCTCGTGAGCGAGCGTCGCGGCGACGTGCAGCGCTGCGAGGAATTCATGAGGCAGGCAATCTACATCGCGCACAAGCACTCTATCGCTGACGACCTCTACAGATGCAACTTCAACCTAGCAGGTAACAGAGGGCAGCGTTGACAGCTACTATTAGCAGCAGCAGCAGTGGAGATGGTGGCGGTGCAGGCGACGGCGCAATGGTGGTTATAGCATTGTAACTATTATAAATTCTCCATCTCTGTGCACTCGTATCTAGATGTATCTCTGTGCACTCGTATCTAGATGTATCTCTGTGCACTCGTATCTAGATGTATCTCTGTGCACTCGTATCTAGATGTATCTCTGTGCACTCGTATCTAGATGTATCTCTG